TCTCTCTCTCTCTCCCTCCCTCCCTCCCTCCCTCCCTCCCTCCTCTCCCGCTCTCTGTGTCTGCCACATGTGTATATGTGCTCTTGGAGGTCAGAAAAGGGCGTTAAGTCTCCTGGAACTCAGGTCCTCTGGGACTGTTGTAATTACTCTAAATGCCTGAAACAACTTTCCAACCCAAACTATTTTCTTTATAAATAACTCACTCTCCAGCATTTTTAAAAAGAAACAGAAAGCCAACAGATACAGGTAGTGATATTGCAGGGTTCCCAGGAACATCTTGCATGAGTTCCCCGCTTCCACGACACCACGGTGGCAGGTGCTGAACATCTCCTGGTCACCTGTGATGTATCAAATCCACAGATATCTCTGGAGAGACACCTCTGCAGGGTTGTTTGTTTGTTTTTCCCATTCCTCACTAAAGATGCTGTTGAGCATCCAGGCAGAGTACACAGTATTGGAAATGAAAGACATTGTGGCCTGATCCCCATCTTCCGGGCACTCACAGACCCTGCATGAGCACCCACTGGGGGAATCTCAGACGTCAGCAATGGATATTCCTCACTGTCAGTATCTTCCATTCTTGTTGCTAGAAGTAAGTCACTCCATGTAGCTCATACTCAGAGAACAGATTGACCACATGAATTACAAAGAACATGTGAACCTATTTAAAAACTGCCACAGGAGAATAGTGGAGAATAGCAAACAGCTAACGGGTCCTAATCTTAGATGAGTCGCCACCTCTCTAGTTCAATCTCTCTAACACGACTTGTGCTATTGTATGCCATCACAGGGCATGGGCACTGGAATGGAATCTAGCCATACCATTTCATGTCTGCCAGCCTCAGTTTCTCTGTATGTACCCTTACCTACCTCCTAGCGATATGGCACAGTGAATGGTGGCCTGTAAACTCAGCAAGTGCAGAGGCATCTGGTTACTAGAGAAGGCGAGAGTGTCAAGGAGGCTCTTGGTGGTCACTGAAATTGAAGAACGAACTGGAAGAAGAGATTTGTCTCCTTCACACAAAATCTCTTGCAACTGCATAGAAGATTGTCTCAGCTTTAGTTGTTTTCACTGGGTAAGAAACCTTCTCTGAACATAACTAAGAATTTTGAACCATAGGAAATATCCAGCTATTCCTAGGATTGAACTGTGACTCCAGAATGAGGTTGAACACTCTTTCACCTTGACCAATATTACTCCATGTTGTAAGCTGCCAGAGGGAGAGCCTCTATGCAGGACTGCAACATGGTAGAAGGTTCTGACACCATGTCTATGTCAGTCTGGGAGACAGACCAGATATAACCTTCCACCAGGGGACAGAAGATCAAAGCTCAAAGGCTAGCTTGCTATTGGACCCTAGCAGAACCAACTTAGATGCAGGAAATGACATTAGCTCGATGTGACACCAGCTTAGAGCTGACAACATAGGCTTTGTGTGTGTGTGTGTGACAGGCACATTTATTCCTTAGTTTTTCCTATCAGACTCTTCCCCTGGGAGGACAAGGACTCCCATTTCCGTCCTATCCTCTCCAGTTAGAGGCCTCCATGAAGGCCACATTCCCAGAATACCTCTGTACCATTGGGTACAGACTGGGAAGAGCCATGCGTGCTTTCCCACATCTAGACTTCTGCAGACCTCAGTGTGAATTGGTCAGATGAAGGGTTCAGCCCTGATCTGCCCACATCAGAGGACAGAGTGTGATCCTGGGTGGCTGTGGAGTTAACTACTGCTGTGTAACAAGCCATGCAGACATAGTGGCATGAATTAAAATGAATCTGTCACTGTGAGCAAGAGTCTGGGAGACAACAGGGATCAACCACGCTGTTTTCACTTGGGGTCCGACCTGGTTAGAGTTGGATGGTACCCGGGCCCTGGCAATCTCAAACGCGTTGTTGGTCATATCCAGCTTCTGTGTAGAGAAAGCTCAGGCATTCGGGGATTCTAGGTACCCCCTTCCTCTTCTCCCTCCCTAGGGTCTTCTCTCCAGGGCAAACAACCTTCTTCTGGACATTTGAATCACCTAAGGGAGAGTCCTAAGAAAGACATCAGAAGAACTTGGAACTTGCTGAGTGTCATCACTGAGTCTCAAATCAAGGATGGCCATTGTCAAGGATGGCCATTGTCAAGGATGGTCATTGTGACGTGGCCTTTAGGAATGAATATCAGGGAGGGAAAAGCAGGGCTTCTCTTCAGGCCTTTCCTGAGCACTGTGGGGGCATTGACTCAACTGCCTGCTTCTGCTGCCTGCAGGGCCAACAGGAATAGGAACAAGCAGCCGAAACTGCACCCGAAGCCAAATGGAGCCCTCTCTTGGTGGTGGCTTTTTGAATCACCAGATTGTCTAGTTTTTCTACGAAGGCTAGAAAAATCAGTTTCTTCAAGGAGAAGCTTTTGAATTCTTAGCTGGTACAAACAAACAAACCAATCAACAAACAAACCAACAAACAAACCACTATCACCAACTGCAGAGGCTACACAAGCCCAGTCTGAGGTGATCAGCTTGTGCCTCTGGTGGCCTGGGAAGGTCAGCATGGAATAGGAAGTGTTCACTTGCTGCCCTGAGGTAGTAGGGGAGAGATGGGGAAGAGAGGTCTTCATAGAAGAGGAGGCCATGTTTTGCCTGAAAGACCTTCCATTCGCACGGGATGGCTTTTGGAGGGTGTGGCAGGCTGGTGAGGCCTCGTGCACAGAAAGCAGCTATAGACTTCCACATTCTCCTGTGTTCTGCAATCTGCTCTCTGCCACCTCCCTCAGCAAAATATGCCTTCAAGAAAGACCCCAAGCCTAGCTCCATGGCAGCCGCCGCCGCCCCCCAGCTTTGGTTTATGTGGAGCAAAGGCCTAATGGAGCCCAAAGAGAAAGCTCTCACATTCCCATTTCCAGCACCAGCTGGCAGCTGTGACAGGATTCCAGGCGATGACCTCACAAACCTGTGCACTGTCATTACCATCCCCGGTGCTGCCAGCCGGAACAGTAGAACCCCCCACTTCAGTGTGACCTACTTCTGGCTCTGAAATCACACTCCTAGATTGCCGCCTCCTTCACTCCAAAGAACGCGTTCGTAGGGAGAGCACATTAAAGAGTCTCCGCCCCTCACATCCCACTGAAAGCAAAATCACATTGCAAGCAACCGTAGCTAAGTGTGGGGGGTTGGAGAGAAAGGGCAATGACTTCCATGGAGGCAGGGATTGCTCTCTGGGGAGTAGACAGACACATAGTGGCAAGGAATGAGGATGTGGGCCGCACTGCTCAGCTTGGTTCCTCAGACAAAGGGCTCAAAAGAGCATCACACTGCATATTGGTTAGGATGCTCTACAGGAACCCCGATTGGATGAGTATCTGTTATGCAGCACCTTGATTAGATTTGCTTCTATGACAGACACAGTCCAGCAATGACTGTCTGCATCCTACCAAGGCTGAAAACACAGTTGCTGCTTCTCAGTCTACCAGGCTGGATACCTCAGCAGTCCCAATCGAATCTAGTGCTGAAGGTTTGAGGAATTCGAGAGAGTCACTGGTGTTCTGTCCAAGAAAGATGGGTTCCAAGGTCAGTAGCAAAATAGGGACACATTTATTAGCAAGAAGCAAAGGCAGTCTGGGAGTGGTGATATAGGACTTTACAGTGAGTTTGAAGCCAGTATCATCTACATACATATGGACCTCCAGGACTATATAGGGAGAATGATATGTACATGTATATGTATGTTTATGTGTGTCACATATATGTGTGTGTGTATACATGTGTGTGTACGTATGTGTATATATATGTGTGTGTGTGTGTGTGTGTGTGTGTGTGTGTGTATGCCAGGCAGGTAGATGACTTCCTCTGACCTCTTTCTGGTTTACTGCTGCTGACAGGTACTGTCCACTCTGTGGGAGAACCTTTTCTCAGTGAACTCTTTCTGGTAACTCTTACAGTCCTGCCCAGAGAGAGGTCTGTTTCTTAGTTTACTCGAGAGCCAATCAAGTTGATAACCAAGATCAGCATCACACAGCAAGAGCCCGAATCATGTAATCACACATTTCCTGTTCCAACTTCCTGGTTTCAACACTTCCAATAGTGAGTGTTCAGAGATGAGGTCTGTAAAAGGTTGTGGGTAGATCCTAATTCAGGCTGGCCAGAAGTGTCCTCAGGGAGGGTGTTTGAGTTTGAATCTGAACCTGATTTTCCCCAAGGGCCTGGTGTGGATGGTGTCCTGTCCACATGGCACCTTTGAGAGTTGGTGGACCTTTAAGAGGTGGGGCCTCATAAGAGTTTTGTAACTTACTCTCTGGGGGTGTTGAAAAGAAGTGGGACCTGCCTCTTTTTTCTTCCTTTCTTTGGGCTCTGAGGTAAAAGGGATACTTGCTCCACCTTTCCACCTTGATGTCCCTCTAGAGACCCAGAGCAAAGGGCTAGCTGACCACCTCCCAAAATGAGCCACAGTGACATATTTTCCCCTGTATATATCGGTTTTTCGCAGAGATTTGTCACAGGAATAGAAATCTGGCTGACAAAGGAAGGTTAGACACATGGGAAAACACCAGAGGAACACATGCACAGAAGACAGATCATGTGACCAGGTAACAAGAGGGCAGCTGCCTGCAAGCCAAGGAGAGTGGCCTCCCAGGAGCCAAACTTGTTAACACCGTGGTCTCAGATGTCCAGTCCCTAGAACTGTAAGAAAGTAAATTTCAGTTGTTTAAACTGCCCAGTATATGGTATTTTGTTATGGGAGCTCTAGAAAACCAGTATAGACATCAACAAATTTTTATTTTATTTTTTAAGTTAACTGGGTAGGATAAGTCAGCTGGTTTCCATTGCTGCTGCTGGTGTCAGGAAGCACAGAGCCAAATGACCAGTTGGAGTGACCTCAGTGCCTGGAGCCAGTCCACATCGGTGGGATAGGATATTGGATCAGTATTGGAGTGGGGGAGTGGTAAGTGAGGGGCATGGGGAGTGGGAGCATGGGAATGGGGGCATAGAGAGTGGGGGCATGGGGAGTAGGGAATGTGGAGAGTGGGGGCATGGGGAGTCAGGGGCATGGAGAGGGAGGGCTATGGTACATTCCTTGTGGATGATTCCCACCTCATAAAATGGGTTTGGTTTCTCTAGATCCCCATATCACAACTCAGCTTCACAGGTATGGGTGACATCTGGGACATTTATATTCTAAAGTGTGTATGCTGGCAGTGTATACGTGCTCTGAGACAGAGCTACGGGGTGCCCACACATTCACCTTTCTCTACTGGACACATAAAGGACATTTTCATTTTTAGATTTATTTATGTGTGTGTACGTGTGTATATGTATGTGTGTGTATGTGTGCATGTATGTTTGTGTGTATATGTGTGCATGTGTATGTATGCATATGTGTGTACATGTGTGTATGTATGAGTATGTGTATATATATGTGTGTGTGTATATATGTATGTGTGTATATATGTATGTGTGCATATGTGTGTACATGTGTGTTTGTGTGTATATGTGTGTATGCATGTATGAATATGTGTATATATGTATATATATGTATATGCATATGCGCATATGTGTGTACATGTATATATGTGCATATGTGTGTACATGTGTATATGTGTATGTGTGTGTATGTATGCATATGTGTATATGTGCAGATAAGTACATGTGTATATATGAATATGTATGTGTACATATGTGTATATGTGTGTGTACACATGTAAGTACATGTGTATGTACGAATATGTATGTATGTGTATCTGTGTGTATATGTATGCATGTGTGCATATGTGTATACATGTATATGTGTATGTGTGTGCATGTATAAATATGTGTATGTGTGTGTATGTATGTGTATATGTATGTGTTTGTGTGTATAGGTACATGCCCATGGAAGTTAGAAGAGGGCATTGGATCCCTGGAGGATGTTCACATGGAACTACCAGTATGGAAACAGAGGAAGGGGAATGCTGGTGTGTAGCTAGCTTTCTCCTGTTTCCCCTTTCATTCAGGCTGGGCCCCAGCTCATGGCATGATGCCGCCCACATTTAGAGAGAACCTTTTTTTCCTCAGCCAAATCTCTATGGAAACACCCTCACAGACACATCCAGAAGTGTGCTTTCTAGATAACTGGAAGTGCAGTCAAGTTGACAATCAAGATTAGCTCTCACCCCACCCAGCCCAGCTGAGTTCAGGTTCCAGACATTCCTGCATGGGACCCAGACTCCTGGGGAGAAGCACAGCCGTAAAACAATGGCTAGAATCCACACGTGGTCAGGGCTGCCAGCTGCTCCAGATGTCTACAGTCATGTTCCATATGTCTGCCATCCCATGGTATGGCCTATGGTGAAGCTTCCTTAGTTCAGAATGGTTTCCAAGTATGTGTCCCCCCTCTCTCCTCCTCCAGATTCCATGGTTACCACTTTCAGTGAGGAAAGTAAAGTTGGGTTGAGCACTGAGCACTGGGCCCAAGAAGAGAAGCATATTGATATGTGTGAGCACTACCAAGAACAAAGCCTTCGTGATAAGGAGAGCATTGCCGAGGGAGCACTACCCTCTGTTCTCACAAGGAGGGTTACTGCCTACATGGCCTTGCAAAAGGAGCACACTTCTGAGGGGAGCACTCTTGAGAACACCTCAGATTTGGAGCACACTGCTCAGGGGAGCACTCTTGTATCATTAAGCTCAGGGTGGCTATCAGCTTCAGGATGATGGTAGAAGATGCTGCCTCAGGGCAGGGCTCCCAGGATCCATGAGATCATGGGCCAGGCAGTAGCACTTAGTGTTATCCCTCAATTCCTCAAGGTGGGTATAATTAACATAATGGGCTCCAAGTTCCAAACAAGGAGAAGGGACAAGTGTCCTGGTTTTCAGAGCTGTAGGGAATGGAAGTAAACACCGGAAAAGATGTTCTCTGGGGCCCAGGGGCCAGGTAACTACTAAGACAATGCCTCATATTGGAAATTGAGAGCGGGGAATGGTTTCACATACAAATTCCCATCACAGGACAAATGTATAAGCACATGTGGCATGCTCAGTCAGGAATAAAAACACATGCATCCATTTGTGTGGTTTCATTTGCATGGAAGTCAAGTGTTTGGGAGAACCCATACAACGTGTATTAGTCAGTTTTCCATACTTGTGATGAAGTCTGTGGAGCTGTGTGCTTTTTTACAATATGAAATTTTTCTAGCTCACAGGTATGGAAGCCAAAAACCCATGACCTGATGACTCCATCCGTACCACCCCTGCTGAGAACCCTCTTGGCTGCCAGATGGCATTGGGGAGAGTTAATGGAAGATGAAGAGGTCACATGGTAGAAAAGGGAACCAGAGAGAGGTGGGAGGAGCCAATCAGGCACCTGCAGGCTTTATTTATTATTTAAAGTCCCACCACCCCCTCTGCTGGGTGATGAGCTAGACCCAGACTACAGGATAAGGATTAACAGGTTAGTGACAACAGGGTACCCAGGACCCATTAGCACAGGGTTTCATTCTGTGGTGATGGAGGGTCCTTGAAGTAGATATAGATAGTGAATGTGTAGCCCTGTGAGTATACTGAAAATGGCTGACTGGAGACTTTAATGGGAACAGTTTGGATGTTCTATAAGTCAGAGCTTTTTGTTGTTGTTGTTGGTGGTGGTGGTGGTGGTGGTGCTTTTTTTGTTTGTTTTGTTTTTTGATTTTCATGCCGGCTGCTATATTAGGTTGACTATGTATAAAACATGACAACCTATCATTCACTAGCAAGCTTTTTTTAAAAAAAATCCCCTCTTTTTATTGATTCTTTTTGAGTTTCCCATCATGCACCCCAGTCCCCCTCATCTCCCCATACACTCATATTCACCCTTTGCCCTTGCAACCTCCATCGACAAAATAAAAACCACACAAACAAAAAAAGAAAGAAAGAAAGGAAGGAAGAAAGAAAGAAAAAAAGAAAGAAAGAAAGAAACAAAGAAACAAAGAGAACCCCAAAGCATAGAAAACTTATCATGGAAGCTGTAGTGTGTCATAGTGTGTCCCACGATATATAGTCCTGGCTGTCCTGGAACTCACTCTGTAGACCAGGCTGGCCTCAAACTCAGAAATCCGTCTGCCTCTGCCTCCCAAGTGCTGGGATTGTGCCAAGTGCGCCACCACCGCCCGGCTCACACATCTTCACCTGCACACGATCATTGGAATAAGTCATTGGTCTGGTTTGAGATCTCTGGCTTCTGTGTCACTATCAGTATTGGTTTCTCACTAGAACTCCTCCTGGTTATCCTGCTGTTGCCCTGGGTCATGGAGATTCTGCAGCTTTGGATCAGCTAGACTGACCCTTTCTTGCATCCAAACCGTTTGCAGATGATACAGATTTTGGGGTGGATCAATTCAGAGCCTTGGGTCTGGGCCTGGATGGTAGCTGATACGATCAGCACACAGACTTTCCTTTCACCACCAGGGCAAGCTCTCCAGCACTGCTCTGGCTAGACCACCCAAAGCCGCCATTCCTCCACGGCAGGAGGCAGGGTCAGCTCTCCTGATATCATGCCCTCAGGGCTGCCTCACCCACAAGCATGCCTCCCAGGCCAGCTCCACTGTGCAGCCAAGTAGTGGCTCAGCGCCCACTCTCCCAAGTGCTGCAGCCTGTGAGGGGCTGGACTATCTTCCCTCTCACACACTCAGGGCTATCTATCTCACCAAGTGCCTTCACCATCAGGGCCAGCTCTACTCTCTTTCCCAGATGAGAGCCAGGGCCTATTATCCTGAGTGCTTCAGCCAATGCCCTCATTGGCAGGGCTAGCTCTCGGGCTCTTATGGCCTTGGAGCCAGCTCTCCTAACTACCGCAGGTGGCTAGAGGGGAGGGCATCACCTCCACAATCACCTCACGCTGGGGCCAGCTCTCACATGCTCGCTTTCACCCTTGGAGCCGGCTCACCTATGCCCCCTCCATCAGGGCCAGCTCTACTGCTCAGGTGAGATATAGGGGCTGCTCTCCCCGAGTGCTGCAGCCCACAAGTGGCGGGGGCCGGCTCTTCGCCTCTCATGAGCCGGAGGTCAGCTCCCTGGACTGCAGCAGGTGGCAAGAGGTAAAGCGGGGTGGGCAGGCATTATCTCTGCACCCATTCTACCTCATGGCAGGGCCAGGCTCTTCCACGCTGTTGCCCTTGGGGCTGGCTCACCTGTGCCCCTAACACCACGATCAGATCTGCTGTGCTGTCCAGGGGAGGTGCAGGGCCTGCTCGCCCCAATGCTGCAGCTGGTGAGGGGCCCGAATAGCTTCCCAAGCTCGTGACCTTGTGGACAGTTTTCCCAACTACTGGAGGTGGCAAGAGACAGGGGTGGGGTGGGGAGGGAGGGCATCATTCCCGTATGCATGCCACCCCACAGCAGAAAAGTGGCGGAGTCAGTTCTCCCACACTCTTGCCCTCGGGTGGGCTCATCCACGCCTCTACCACCAGGGCTACTGTGCAGACCAGGCAAGGTACAAGACACACTCTCTAGAGCACTACAGCTGGGGAGGGCCGGGGCCAGCTAAGCCGTTCTCATGACGCCAGCTCTCCGGACTGTGAGGGTCGAGGCAGGGGAAGGGCATCATACCCGCACCCAAGCCTTCTCTTGGCAGAAGAGTGGTGCGGGGGTCAGTCATTCCACGCTCTTGTTCTCAGGCTGGCTCACCTGCACTCCACCCCTCAGGGTCAGCTCTGCTGTGCTGTCCCAGGCAAGGTGCAGGGCCAACTTTCCTGAGTGTTGCTGCTGGGGAGAGGAAGGGTTAGTTCTCCCACACTCAAGACTAAGTAGAGAGCTTTCCCGACTGCCAGAGGTGGGGAGGGGTAGGGGTGGCATCACCTCTGCGCCCATGCTACCCCACCACAGGTGAGTGGCAGGGTCAGATCTTTCACACTTAACACACTTGGACTGGTTCATTACCACCAGGTTCGACTCCACTGCGCTGTCTGGATGAGACACAGGTTTTGCACCCATGAATGCTGTCACTGGTGAGAAGTGGGGATAGCTCTCCAGAGCAACATAGTCAGGGAGGGAGGCAGTTCTGTATAGCCCTTGAACACCCACATGGCCCCCCATGACTGCCCTGACCAGGGATGTCTCCATGTTCTCTAGTGGTAATATGACTGTGATGGTTTGTATACGCTTGGCCAATGGAGTGGCACTATTAGGAGGTGTGGCCTTGTTGGAGTAGGTGTGTCACTGTGGGCGTGGACTTTAAGACCCTCATCCTAGCTGCTTGGAAGCTGGTATTCTGCTAGCAGTCTTCAGATGAAGATGTAGAACTCTCAGCTCCTCCTGTATCATGCCTGCCTGGATGCTGCCATGCTCTTGCCTTGATGATAATGGACTGAACCTCTGAGCCTGTAAATCAGCCCCAATTAAATGTTGTCTTTGTGAGAGTTGCCTTGGTCATGGTGTCTGTTCACAGCAGTAAAACCCTAACTAAGACAATGAGCCACAGACACCAACCCCTGCTGCTGTGCAGCCTCAGCCCAGACATGGCCCTCAGCGGCAGTGTCTGGGACTTCACTGTAGCCCCAGGTGGCTGGGCTGGCCACTCACAATAGGCTACTCCTCTGCCCCATTGAGTCTCCAGTTCCATCTCTCTTCAAGCTGCCCTACTTCTGTTTCTCTCTCATCTGCAGTCAGAGTTTTTAAGAAGTGTATTTGTGACTGGCTGTGGTAGGCCACTGTCATCGGTCTCCTTTCCAGTCCTAAGCCAGTGTCCATTAGGAAAGGGTCACGACTCAAATCAAGGCTGGAGGATGGGTCAATGTGGCCTTGCTGAGCCTCTGAGGATGATCTCTGAGGACAGCCCCACACCTCTTGGTGAGCGCACACAGTTATGACTCATTCAGCTCTTCCCAAAGGACCATGACATGTCACTTGGGTGACCCTGTTGTGGAAAAGGCAGCTAGCCAGGCTTTTCAGGGAGGCTAGATGCAGCCCAAATTGACATTGAAATTCAAAGTGCTTTATGCCCTGTGTTAGTAAAGGGGCATGTGGGAATCAGGAGACAATGGCTTCTTAGTCCAGATCCCCATCTCAGCATGGGCACTAGGCACATGGACTGGACTCACTCTCTCTCTCTCTCTCTCTCTCTCTCCCCCTTTCCCTCCCCCTCCCCCTTCTCTCTCTCTCTCTATGCATATATACATATATGTATATATTCACATTGCACACACATGTACATGTCATGTGTGTATGCACATGTTCATGTATATACATATATGTCCAGGTATGCATTCACATTTGCATTTTGAGGCCTCAGGTTAACGTCAGGCATTTCTCTCAGCTACTCTCCACCTTGCATTTTTAGAAATTTCTCTCACTGAATCTGGAACTCACCAGTTTAGCTGAGTTAGCTGGCCAGTGATCTCTGAGGCACCTCCTCCCCAACACTGGGATTACAGTTATGATCCCTCATGCCAGGATTTTTAATATGTGTGCTGAGGCTCCAGTGTAGGCCCCTATGTGTGGCAAGGACTTATTGTCTCCCCAGCCCATGGCCTGGGTTCTTGAGTTAACTTAACCAGGCTTATCTGGCTCCTGGCAGCACCTACAGCTTCATTCCTTGGCCTGTAGAGAGGGCTGATGCCCAGGGGACATCGTTGAGGTTCTCCAGGTAGTCAAGAGCTTAAACAAAAGCAATGACTTCTGTCTGAGGGAACGAGTATAGGAGATCACCGTCAGTGGGGGCCACCCTCCTCATGACCTTAAGTCTCATTGTTATGAGAAGGTTGTAGCCCCTATTCAGTTCTCTAGAACTTAGCTTAACTCACAGTAATCTAAACCATCATTGTCTACCTTCAAAGATACTTAGAGTACACAGTGATGGTGCAAAACCTGAAAAAGTTCACTTGGCTACTGCCTAGTCACAGCTGATGAGCCATATGAGGTTACTACCCCAGAGTAGGCTTTGTGACAGTTGATGTGACGAACACTGTTTTCTACCCTGGAAGGAAGATCCCAGGTAGCTTGCATTCCTATGCTGGGAGCCAAGATAGCTTTCCTGAGTTTCTCCAGGATACCAGAGGTTCTCTGCTTATGTTATACTGGAACTACCAGAAGGT